AGTGTAGACATACCCTCAGTCTCTCTCTTCTTCCTCGCCTCCATTTTTTTCCCCCTTCTCTCCCCCCCTTCCCTTATTTATTCTTGGATCAGGACTTCCAACACTCCCGTCATCTGAAGTGCGTTGTGCCCATGAAAACTCATACCAGCTACATGTTTTGTTAGTCTTTAAGGTGCTACTAGACTATTTGGTATTTAGGAATGTTAAACACGGTTAAACGCTAGCGCTTAACCAGTTAACTATTTTATAGCTATAAAATAACTAAACTGAAAAGCATTCTGAGTACTGGCATGCAAAAAAATGTCACTTTATTTCAGAACTTCCACGTATGTACCACTACAGAAAGTAGTTTAAAAGGTTTTATTAAATTTACTTCAAGTGTGTATATATTCTAGTATTCCCAATTCAGTCCTTGGACAATGCGCCAGGCAAGAAAGGCTGAGTCAGCACTCTGTTCAGAGGTTCCAATCAAGTAAAGCAGAAAGAAACTGACTAAGCAAAGGTGTGCCTAATTACACCATTAGCCAGAGCAAACAAGTAGGTACAGGAAGGAAAGGAAGTACCGGGGGGAACATAGGCAGAGATTGTTCTCCCCAGTTGTTATAGAGCTTTATAGGTGATGAAGGTGGTAAGCAATTTTCCCTCTAAGAGCAGAGTGAGTTTTGTCTTGTGCACCAATATTGATGCCACATGCGCTTCTTTGGATGAAAATATGACAACAAGGGATGATTTACAAGGTGCATAACCCTGCACCCACCCAACCTCAAAACCATCCAGTTTGGCACCCAGTCTCATTCCCACCCAGGCTTGCTACCACCATGGAAGGTGGTAAGCAATTTTCCCTCTAAGAGCAGAGTGAGTTTTGTCTTGTGCACCAATATTGATGCCACATGCGCTTCTTTGGATGAAAATATGACAACAAGGGATGATTTACAAGGTGCATAACCCTGCACCCACCCAACCTCAAAACCATCCAGTTTGGCACCCAGTCTCATTCCCACCCAGGCTTGCTACCACCATGCCTGCATCTATAGGCTCCCCAACCCCTCCACCCCCCAC